GGGTGGGTGGGTCAGTGGAGAGGGTGAATAAGGGGCTGCGGTTTACATGGAGGGAGGAAGATCCTAGAAGGCCGATCATCCAAGCGCCGTATGTTTGCTGTATTCGGTTTACATGCAAAGGGTTGTACTTGTTCCTAGAGCAGGGATCTTCCTAGTACTAGGATCTTCCTAGCTGACAGGTAGCTTTTAATTTGCAATTGCTGTGGTTGTACGTAGGTCGAGGGTTGGTGTCCAGTGTTACCATGGAGACGTGACTTTGACCCCTTTAAACCATCTGCCAACCACACAGAGGTTTGTATCCATATGTCAATAATTCAGGTACATAAGCGGTAAACAAAAAAAAATATTTGCAGGACTGTTAAGGACTCAAAGGTACTGGATCAGGTGTTAATAAGTACAGGCTTTTCAAACAAGTCCAGCTTCAGTCTGTGGATTGTGTTCGACAACTTGTTTAATCTTTTATAAACGTTAAGCTTCTTTTGTGTAAATAGACTGAATGTAAGAAGAACCCAATTCTTTGTGCCGAATTTGTTCAAACTAAGAACAGTTATAGTCCAATACACTCCTCTCGTTCACCTGCTAGTTTGTGTCAAATTCTGCAGCAGAATATTAAGTCATCGTTATCGAACACATGACTTTGGCTTGCAGGCAGTGACTCGCACAGATGTATCCGGGTTATTAGAAAAATTAAAAGACGATCGTTACGCCTGGATGAGAATTCGAATAACGGAAACATGGCCGCAGTGGAAAGAAGCCACAGAACAGCTTGCTGCGACCCTGAATGTGAAGAATAGAACGAAGAAAAAGGTGAACTTGGGGTTTTCTTTGAATATTGCTGAATGCCTAGATCAGAGTAAGATTCTGAGAACTGTACACACCTACCCCTCCCTTAAAAGAACATTTTGCCCCAAGTAAGGAGTTAGTGTTAGGGTTAGGGGAGGGGTGGGTAGCAATTTTCCAGAATAGTATTACCTCAGCCTGCCTACCCCTCCCCTAGCCCAACATTTTGCCCTAAGTGAGAACGCAGGGTGAGGGGACGGGTAGGTGGATAATTTTTTGAAATCTAATAATAAGGTATTTGAAATGCTTAGCGAGCTAAAAACAAGCAGTTTGATCGGTCTAACGAATTGTAAGGACGAAATTCTATCAGTTTAGCGACGCAGATCAATAAGCAACGTGATTGGTCTTGCTAAGTAGATAAAAGCTGTTTTTTTGTGGGCGGGGGGGGGGGGCAATTGATTAGAAGAAAGTTAGTTGAATGGTTGTTCTAAGTAGAGGTTAAGTTGAGCGAGCAGGAAGATCGCAAAATGATAAAACTTCTAACATCTGATAAATTGTTTCCGCCACTACGACATTCTTGCTAAAACATGTAGTAGAATGACGACGGCTGTCACACTTTCCCGCCAAAATGACGTTGGTTCACGCGCGCACTACTTAGTATTGAGAAAATCTCGTCGTCGTAGTCGTTCTCGTATAAGCAAAGGCGTTTTCAGCCAACTCAACCGAAAATGAAGCCTCCTTCCTTTTAATATGCCTTGACACTACCCAATTTGTATTGCTAAGTTGCTTTGTTCTTATAGAGACGATTGACCCGAAACATTGGGCAAAACCACAGCCTAAGTTAGCAAAAAGTCCATTTCCGGTCGACGTGCGTCGGTTAAAAAAAGCATTTGCTTAAGCTCCCTAATCTAAAGGCCTTGATTTCCTTTACCAGATTCTTCTCTATATGGGAAGCATAGAAGACAACTTCAAGTTCTTTACTGAAGCCTTTACTGGTGGATGTTTAGGAGAGCTTACACAGTGGAGTGATTTAATGAGTGCCCTGTATATTTTAGGGCATGACTTGATAATTACATCAGATTACAACGACCTGCGAAAGTAAGTTCATGCAAGTTTATTTCGTACACTGAGAAAACAGCCGCGTCCCCACCACTGGTTTTCCCGGCGAAATGACGTCTGAGGGACGAGCGCAGAAATTCCACACTGATGACGCGTTGCTACTCAAATCTGGGTGGTGCTTCTGATTGGTCTAGCCCGGAGAGAAATTTTCTTCAACCAATCAGAAGCACTACCCAGATCTGGGTTGTGACACGTGCAGCATGGAATTTCTGCACTCGTTTCTCAGACTCCATTTCGCGGGAAACCAGTGGTGGCGTAGGAAAATGTCGGCTGTTTTCTCAGGGTTATTTTATCGTCCTTGGAAACAAAGTTTTTGTTATTTCCTCAATATTATTATTAAGGAAAAAAAAGCCAACAATCAATTTTCAAAATGTCCCAAACTGTCATGCGTGCCAAATATACGGGTCCGAGATACTTTAGAGAGGCAATGGAGTTTTAAGACCGAAGAAAGCCACGCATATCGTTAACTTTTCTTCACATTTGAATCTTTGTATCAAGCATTATGCCTCCTGACTCCAAAAAACTCCTGGGATGTCCAGAAAACAACTTTGTAGAAGTTTACCGCTAAGGATTCATACAGAGATAAGAATTTTTGTGAAAGGTTTGTACCCAGGAGTCATTTCAAAAGTTGGTTGAGTTTGATAGTCCGGGTGAACGTAGTCCTGAATAGGACTGTTGTTGTTGACAATGACTGACGTTTCGACAACCTGTGCGGTAGTCACCTTCAGAGTCAAAGTAAAGAGACTAAAACAGAATTCTTGTTAATACAGTCAACTCTCGCCCTGCGGACTCCC